GGAACCATGCAGCGGATGCAGAGTGAGAAGAGCATCCTGGATGAACCTGACTCTCCTCTAGAGGTTAGTTGACTATGTATCCTTATCTTTTTTCTTTTATTGATTTGATTTGTCGTTCCCTTAGTTTTTTCAGCTTCTGCGTGTTTGACCGCATTTCAGCAGTTTAGGTTTTGTTTAATCACATATAGACCATCACCTTTCATGATTCTTTTTTCATATCGTCAAATTTGGCCGGTCGAATCAGATTGTCCCTCCTCTTTTTCTCTTTACTATCTTAGATCAAGCTGTGAGCTCAAGGCAGCAGCCTGGTGTTGCTGTCCATGGTGCTACAAACAGGACTGATTACATTTTTTTTTAAAGTTCCACTTAAAAAAAGTGGTGTTTTTTTTAGGATAATGATTTTCACAAAGGATGTAGTAATAGTATATCAAATAAAAACGCTAAATACATTCTTAATTTTACTTTTGAAAGTTGGATTGAATCAATTATTAATTGTTTCTTATCAGTGTATTACCATCAGGATGATAACAGATATAATAACAGATTCTAATTAAAACACGTATAGTATCTAATGGAACGGGATCATCACAGGGATATTCTAAATCTCTTATTTTTTTTCTGATTTTGGAGTTATTCCTTCACACAGAAGTATTAAAAAACGTCAAACGTCTCATGCACTCTCGATACATTGCACTGAATGGACTCTGAGTGCCGCTGTTGACACATCACTGACTTTAAGTCAGATAGACAGAGCAGTGGTCCACCCCTTAAAACCATTCAATGCGTAGCTCGTTGGAAAGACGACGCTCAGGCTCCTTTAGGCTTTAAATGTGGATTATATCTTTAATATCTAACTTGACCGTAAAGATATCTGTCTCAAGTTGTGGATTTATCCACACGTGTGTTACCTTGACACGGATTACTGATTTTACATCTTTGGATTCACGATGACTGCCGTCCGTAGCAGAGGACGATGGAAAACGGTGGTTGTTATTCTTTGTCTCTGGAATATCAGCTCAGTGACTGGTCAGGCTCGGTATTCCATTCCGGAGGAGCAGGCCGAAGGTTCTTTGGTCGGAAATATCGCAAGAGATTTAGGTTTGGATGTGACAAGGCTTGTATCAGGTAAAGCTCGTATTATTACAAAGGGCAGCCGGCAGTACGTCGATTTAAACCGAGACAAAGGCACCCTTATAGTTAAAGAGCGAATAGACAGAGAGGAATTGTGCGGGAAGACGACGCCCTGTAGTTTTGGCTTCGAGGTCATTTTAGAAAACCC